CTTCTCATAGTTTGTTTGATAGACGTTCGATTTAATTTAGCATTCAATAATAAAAGTCTAATATTATAGTATGTTAATCATGATAAATTTATATTCAGAATTAGTAATTCCAGGCGAGTACTCAGAAACCAAAGTACATAATCTCAACACAAATACCCTACTACTATACATGGATTTTTGTTTTGTTTAAAGCAGAGTTAATTAGAAAACAAAGATAGTTTTGGGAAATTATACCAAAAAGGGGATGAAAAGAAACAAATATTTATAATATGCATTTAAAGGATCAAACTCAGGTGTCATGTGATATGAACCACAAACAATATATGTTTTGAATGTCTATTATTACCGAAAAGACGAATAGATATATTGTCAATGTCTCTTTTTCTTGGGAATATATCTTTTAAGGTTCATAGGGTTTTAACTAATCAAGCAAGTTTATGCCAAATATGATAAAAAAATTTACCAGTATATATTTTTATGTTGGAGAATATTCATTACAATTTTAGAGAAACAAAGCATTTATGAAAACAACGAAAAAGAAAAAGAAAAAAAGACGAGGGTCCGTATGAAGATTCTGTAAGAGTTATATATGGTAGTGAATAGATAAAAGTCATCGTAAAGTTTCAAACGCTACTGTCATAACAAAAAGCTACCGCCAAAACCACGACGATCACGTTGTGCTAATTATTTTAAGTTAGGCGGCCATATTTTGTAAATGTATACTAATAATTAGTAATTCCACGCTATTACATAGAAACCAACGTACGTAATCTAAATTAGATTAGTATATAGTTGCAATATGAGGTTCATAGCAAATAAGTCTCTGAATCAATACTCTATTTTGGTTAGTATCTAGAGTTAGTAGTTCAAAAAATAAAAAATATTAAGGTGTTTTCTACCAATATAATTGATCGTTACCAGACTCCGATGCAGAGAAACTAAAATCTTTCAACGGCTATGGACCAAAATTAAAAAAAAAGCTTAATTTCTTTTAATCAAACTACAAACTAAATAAATTCAAAATTTGTTGAAAAACCTTGATTACTCTTTAAATAAATCTGGTGTTCAAAAAAAAATCTCTTTAAATAAATCTAATTACAACATGCATAATAAACAAATATGAGAAATCTGATCTTAGTATCCTACGCTACATCAAGTTCAGTTCTTTAAAGGGAGAGAAAACTTAATTATGTATGGTAGAGATATCTCAATCTAATGATTATTATTATCTCGACCAACCATCCCTTGAAAGGCTTGTTTAGTTAATTAAGACAGTTGCTTCATTAGCATCCTCACTAATTAATCACCAGATATATTATTTATGTTGACAAAACATTACCTCGTTTTAAAAATGATAGATGATTAAAACAAGCATTGTGGACCCAAACCAACAAGGTCATTCTATTGCTCCTCCTTAAAGGTAAGCCCTTAATGATTTCAATGATAGAAAACTAAAACTATGCTTAAGTTGGATTATATATCACTATACTCCTATATATTAATTATAAATTTTTTTATGTGAAGTTCAGAACCGTTGAGTCCCAATAAATGCTCTTTTACTTCACAAATATAGGCGTTTCTATTTATTACATTCCGAGAAATTATGATTACTTGAATGCATTAATGTTTAAAATATAATGTTTCTTGCAATTTTAAGGTTTTTTTTTTCATTTTGAATATTTTCTCTAGAAATTGGAGTAGAAGAAGATCTAAGCTGAGAAAAAGATTGCGATATATAGAAGCAAAAGTCACCTTTCTATGTGATCAAATTCACATCGATGTTTGGTAATTGATTGCTTTAATCCAACGGTCCCACTTTTACATCGTCTTCATATACTATACGTACATGCATGGGTCTTCCGAGACATGTGTTATATACATAAATATATAGTGATTTATATATAAACTAAATGAAACTAAAACATAACAAAAGTAATTGAACAGTTATTTAGTGATGTGGCAACTGGCGAGTGTTTTGGACATTTTTGTATAACCGAAAATTTAATTAAGCAAGATTATAAGAAAGCACAAAAAATAATTAAGATTATAAAGGAGTAAAGGACCATGCATCAAACATCTTACGTGTTGGAAGTTGGAACAGGTGTATGTATGTATTATGTATCGTAATTTATACGTAAGCATGGTCACTTCTCTAGTTAAGATTCTATTCGACAACAAATTGATGATTTCATTCATCGATATTGTTGTTATAGGGACCCTTATTGTTTTCACAAAGAATTTGAGCATGCTATATTACGATGATAAGATATTTATTTAATACATTGAATAACAAACACAGAATTAGTATAATGTGATAAACACTTTTTGTAAACATCGGAAAGTATACGAGATTGTGTAAAAAGTTATTGGGTTTGAATGGTAATCCCATACAACTGCAATATAAGGTATATTGTTTTGATAGTTACTAATCACAAAAAATATTACTGAAAACATTACTCTCAGTTTTTTGTATAACTTTTATGTAACACTATTTTATACAATTTTGTACTATTTCGTAAAAACTTATCGTTCCGACTTACAACTAAAAAGTTGTATAGTTTTTTTTTTTATTACTAATCAAACATATTACTTTGTTAGAACGAACAAAGTCTAGCCGTAAAAAGAACAAACCTGATGTGACATATATGATTATAATTGGTATTTATTATTATTATATATATAGTATTGCATGACTATCTTTACAAGATGTCAATACGAAAATAAATTAGGAGAAAATTTCTAAACGAAGCGATTTCATTTTCGGCAAGGTCTTCCGATATGTCTCCTAACCAAATCAAAGCCTTGTAACTGAAACTTGTAATGATTGTTATTCCATATATCTTTGAAAAAGCTTCGGTATTGGACGTACGTACTTAATATAATTAGATTTTTATTTATTTATTATCAAAAATCACTATAATTCGGCTACATGACTTATTCCATTATTTCACGTTGAAAAAAATATTTTATGAACTTAAAATACACTCATTGTGTATAGAATCCACAAGTTCTTTTCTATCAATAGAATCCACAAGTTCTATCTCTCTTTACTAGAAATTATGTTTGCTCGTTATTGTAAACAGAATTGTAATCAATACATCATTCAAATATTTTTTTTAAAAGACACAAAATTTTCATCTTAGATAGGGCTTCTGAATCATTGATAACTTTTTCGAAAAAGAAAGAAGATAGGGCTTCTGAAAATATTAGAAAGATGGAAGGATATTATAAATTTGGCTTCATCTTCCTTTCATCCTTTGGTTTGCAGCCATCAAAGTACTACCCAGGGTCCCGGACCCAGTACCCACAGCCACAAGAAAAAAAAGTACTACTTTATTAAGTGTGTGTTACGATAAATGAACAGCGTTTTAGTATGTGAATAATTTTTTTTTGTTACAAAATTGTATGTGATTGATTAGTTATATATGTATATATTTTTTTTCTTTGAAATCCAACGCAATCCATTCACCCGAAATTACATGTTTTAATGTTTATACCGTATAAGTGGGTCGGCACATTCGACACATGATTGAATTTATTATGTATTAGTGGAAACAGAGGAAAGCAATGCATAATACATGATTACTCATGACTCATGAGCTGCGAGTCTATATATGATGATTAGTTCTACGTATCAATTTAGTTTTCTTCTTAAAATCATTTGGTTTTATAGAATATAAGAAACAAAAAAAAACAGGAACTTTCGCGGGAGACAGAAGGGTACGTGAAGAGAAAAACATGTAAAAGTGATAAGGGCTTAACGTAATAATACTACAACAAAAGCTCTCTACGTACAACGAGTAATAACACATGAAAATAGAAAGTCGATGAGACGTCGTTTTAAGGTTAGATCGATGAAGAAATATCTCAGGCCCCACCCCTGGGACCCGACCCGACCCGACCTTTGTCTCCTCCCTTTTTAAAAACTCCATTGCTTCTTTTTCTTCTCTTCTATAGCTACAAACTCTCAAGAACACAAATAAACACAACCTAAGAAAGAAAGAGAGACATCAGAGAGAGTAAAAACCTAAAGGGTGATATACTTATATATAATTTAATTTAAGATAATTATTGTGATTCACTATAATTAAGTTAATTTGAGGAGCTACTAATCATGGGTCATCACTCATGCTGCAACCAGCAAAAGGTGAAGAGAGGGCTTTGGTCACCAGAAGAAGATGAGAAGCTTATTAGATATATCACAACTCATGGCTATGGATGTTGGAGTGAAGTCCCTGAAAAAGCAGGTGATCGCAGCTATATATTAGTTTTTAAGTAACATAATTTTTCTCTAACCAATTATAATGATCCTGCACTAATTAACATATATAGTCAATGTAACTCTTAAAATGCATGTTTGATCAAATTTAGGGCTTCAGAGATGTGGAAAAAGTTGTAGATTACGATGGATAAACTATCTTCGGCCTGATATCAGGAGAGGAAGGTTCTCTCCAGAAGAAGAGAAATTGATCATAAGCCTTCATGGAGTTGTGGGAAACAGGTTTCCATTTTTACTAACTCGACTTATATTTTATATAGATTATTAATTCATCGAGAGAGTGTATTATTATCTCAGTATTGATACTATTTTCAGTAATAAGTTTGTTGGGTTGGGGATACATACGATAGTACATTTTATACTATATTCAATTTATCATGTTATATATAAAATTAAATAATTATATGTTTAGTTTCGCCACGGTTTGAAGCAACGACTAGCCTACGTACTGTCCATGACTAAAGAATCTTTAACGTGTAGTTTCATTCATCTCGTTCTACTTTTGTCTACTTGCGCGAGCTATATAAAGTAGTACACTTTAAGTTACTTAATCGATCGAACATTCTCAAAATGTGATACTACATACATACATATTTTCTTATTATATTTGTTTTTTGTTTTCTCAGGTGGGCTCATATAGCTAGTCATTTACCCGGAAGAACGGATAACGAGATAAAAAACTATTGGAATTCTTGGATTAAGAAAAAGATACGAAAACCGCACCACCATTACAATCGTCATCAACCGTCAATAACTACTGTGACAATGAACGTGGACGATGCACCTATTGCCACTACCGTCACCTCTACCACTAATCCATCCACTATTGATAACCTACATTTTGATGGTTTCATGGATTCTGTAAACCAGTTAAATTTCGCCAATGATCAAGAAACTAATATAAAGATTCAAGAAACCCTTTTCTCCCATAAACCTCCTCTCTTCATGGTGGACACAGCACTTCCTATCCTAGAAGGAATGTTCTCTCAAAACATCATCACAAACAATAACAACAAGAACAACAATCATGACACGCAAAGAGGAGGAAGAGGAAACCTTTGCGAACAAGCATTTCTAACAACTAGCACAGAAGAATGGGATATGAATCTTCCTCAACAAGAACAACGAGAACCGTTTCAAGTTCCTACGATGGCGTCCCATTTGTTCAATAACTCTACCAATTCAAATATCGAGACAACTATAAGTTATAATCCACCGGCGCTACTAGAGGAAAATGTGGATAACATTGTCCCAATTGAAAATAGCAATGTCCAAGATGGATATATGGCATCAACTTTCGAATGTTTAAAGAGGCAAGACCTAAGCTATGATCAATGGGTAGATTCACAACAATGCTCTAACTTTTTCTTCTGGGACAACCTTAACATAAACATGGACGGTTCATCTCCTGTTGGAAACCAAGATTCATCAATGACCTTGGGATCATCTGCCTTATCTTCATCTTTTCCGTCTCCATTTTAAATTAATGTTTATCGCATCACAGAAACTCACGCTAATTTGTTTATAAGTATGTTCTTTAGTTTTTTCATTTTTCTTTAATATGATCTAAGTATGTTCGCATCACAGTCTATTTTCTGATTTTTGTTTACTTTAATATGATCTTGTAATAATGAGTGTTCTAAATTGTTGATGAGGATATGGTGAGAATGTTTGTATGTATGTGGTATTTGTTAACTCATGATTTTACACTTAATTACTTGATGTAACAAGGAGAAAAAACAAGCACAACTTCCATGTAGCAAATGAATACTACTTTCCATGCATTCACCACGTTCGTTGACAAATGACAATGCCGTTTCATTACATTGGTCACCCGCGTCAAAGTACAACTATGGATTCATTATGGAGTGAAAACCAAGCTTGTCTACACTATCTCCAAGGTAATGTTTCTGTTCTTCCTTCAAAGACTAAACAATGTGTAATAGCCGAGAAGGACATGCTGGCTGGTTTAAATTTGTAGGTTTAGAAGTCACAAAGCTAGAAAGGAATAGGTGTTCAGGTGTTGTTATGGTAGATTTTTTAAAAATTCCAAAAAAGTTAGAAGGGACATGATGTCTGTCTCAAATCTAAGACAATGTTACATTAGTGTCACTAGTTAAAGTAGTAAGAATAGTGAGTGATTTAAAAATGGGAATACTGCTGAGAGATTTTGGAAAACTACAATTGTCTATCCAAATCTGGAACTTAGAAAGGAAATCGCGTGTTTGTAAAAACAAATGGGCAAAGTACCCTCTAAGAGAGCTTCGATAGCTCTACAAGTATAGTACTAATTGAGTAAAGTGGATAAAGCAGAATCCGAAGAAAGTAAGAGAAAAGTCAGTCGCACCTCTGAGAGAGTTCCTAAAACTGTACAAGTATAGACTGTGAGAAAAAAGAATAGTAGAAAGTAGGCATGGGCGTTTGGGTATTCGGTTCGGTTCTAGAACCGAACCATTCGGTTCCAAGTATTTTGGTTATCAGATTTAGGAACCATATTGGAACCAAATCAATATAGGTTCGGTTCCGGTTCGGTTCGGTTCGGTTCGGGTAATAAATTTTGGAACCGAGTAGGAACCAAACTGTTTCGGATATTTTTGGAACCGAAAAAACAATAGAATTATAATGCAAAATTCAAATGCAATTATGCAAGTATGCAATGCAACATCACATATTAGTCAGCATACCATTACAAATTCAAAAAATAGTTGAAACTTGGAAAGTATTAAATCAAAAGACACCCAAAAGTTTCAAAAATACCACAAAACACAAGTTTTAAAGACACCAAAAGAATCTTTGTCTTCGATTTGCAATGATTCGAAAGAGAGAGTTGTTGTCTGCGGCATCTCCTTCTTTTAGAAAGAGAGAACAAACTAGGATTTTTCTTTAGGTTTCAAAAAATATATAAGACTTTAAGAGAGATATATGGTAGGTTGTTAGGCTTGGATAGTTAGGTTTATGTCTAGATGGCTTTGAGACTTTGAGTTATATAGATATAGGTTAATGGGTAATATTTTTTGGGTACCCGAATGGATATCGGTTCCTACCCGAACCGAACCGATACCCATGGTTCTTTGATTCAAGATCCAATCGATATTTTCGCTAGAACCGGAACCAAACCATACCCATCAATTTCGGTTCGGTTCTATGTGGATCCATATTTGTGCCCAGGCCTAGTAGAAAGTTTAGAGAAACATGTGACCTCATATGGTTTTGAAGATCAAATGGAGATCATGATTATACAATCAATTTAAAATTCTTTCTACATCTCCATGTGAACATGTGATGAATGTTCATATTCCTATCAAGTCTATATGTTTGAGCTGTCAAACTTGGCCTCGTTTATATGATGCCAAGTTTGCAGAGGGATGTTAAGCACACATGAAAAAGTCAAAACACAAGTCCACAACCCAACATTGACAATGCAAGACTATGATATATTAGCCTATGTCGTTAGGTTTCTAACAAAATGTATTCATATAAGTATGTGTGTGTAATGAACATCAATGAAGTAACTAGATTTTCCTCTTGTAAAACATCTCTTTCTTCCTCATTTCTTCTTCATAAGAAATCATCTTTAACTTTGCCCAAAAAAAAAAAAAGAAATCATCTTTAACTATTTTATTGTTCTTGTACAGATTTTTCTTTTTTTACTCTTTTTTTTTTTTTTTTTTTTTTTCAAATCTATTATATAAAACTCATTGAAAGGAGAATACTGTAACTTGATATTTAATCCGAACCAAAACTAAAGTCATGAAATAAACATGGCTGATCCTAAGTATCTAGAGGCCTAGAGTAATTTTAAAAGTGGCATTTATATTTTCTTATATATAATTCTTTTAGTTAATTAGTTGAAATATTTCTTTTTTTTTTAATTTTTTTCTGTAAATCTTAAGTTTTCATAAATGATAGAACAAACATCATAAAACAGAATTAAGGAAAATTGCAATCGTTTGAAAGATAAAGTAAAACTATTTCCCAATAAGAGCATTTCTATCATAGAGATTCCCTATTATTATGTGAACGAAAACGTTTATCTGTTCATATTCCCATGATAGTTCTCAATAACAATTTCTCTCTTTTTATCCAGAGAGTATCACACGTACTCAAACACCTACAACACTCTGCAGCCACCCTAGGACTCTACTTCACTTACATTGGAACTCAAAAAAAACATCGACAAAGTAAAACACCTTGATGGGCCTGGCTTACAAACATAGGCCCAAATAACAAACGTCCAGCCCACAAACTTCTTTTCCTTCTTCGATAGACCAAAGATGGTTGTAAACACATAACACATCAATCAACAGAGAAATCGTCAGACTTTATGTCAAATCGTTTGACTTGACAACATTTTCCAACTCTCTAAAGCAAAGGGTAAAAGAGTCTTTTTATGTATCTATTATGGCATGATGGAAAAGGTCTGATGTAAAGTGGCCCAGATGAAAAGAAAGGGAGATTGTCATGGCATCCTAGGTGAATATCTCATGAGTGAATCCTTGAAATTTAATATTTACATGTCGGTCACGGGGCTTTAAACTGATGTGCTTCTCTCGCGTCTGGCCTTACTGCTTTTTTGTATATGTGATCTTAAAATCTTCTCGCCATTCTATCTCATGGCTTCTTCTTCTTCTTCTTCTTCTTCTTCTTCTTCGCTTCGCAACTGGACATACCACGTCTTTGCGAGCTTTCATGGAGAAGACGTCCGTAAAACCTTTCTCAGCCATTTACGCAAACAGTTTATCTGTAATGGGATCACCATGTTCGATGATCAAGGGATCAAGAGAGGCAAAACCATTACCCCTGAACTCATACAAGGGATTAGAGAATCGAGGATCTCGATCATCGTACTCTCAAAGAATTATGCTTCTTCCAGCTGGTGTTTGGATGAGCTACTGGAGATATTGAAGTGCAGGGAAGATATTGGACAAATAGTGATGACTGTCTTCTACGGAGTAGATACATCTGATGTGCGGAAACAAACCAGAGAATTTGGGATCGCTTTCAACAAAACTTGTGCTGGTAAAACGGAGGAGGAGAGCAGAAGATGGAGCCAAGCTTTGACCGATGCTGCCAACATAGCAGGAGTAGACTTCAAAAACTGGTTTGCATTTTACTATTTATAGTTTTTTTTCTTCCCTTATGTGGAAATCAAGACAAAAAGGCAAATAACGTGTTTTACTCTGAATATGTTGAACTTAAAATGATTTTAAGGAAATGTTTTCGTTGAATAAGTATTGTAATCTCTTGTATCATGCATATCAGAAACAAATGTTGTACATTATTTGGAAAAGAAGAATGTTATCTCTATAATTATTTTCTGATGGAGTATTTGATATAAACATTAATATATTTTTTTCCTTTTCTTTTGTTAGCAAAAATGAGGCGGAAATGATTGAGGAGATTGCAAACCATGTTTCTAACCAACTGAATGTGACACCGTCTAAGGATTTTGATGGCATGGTAGGACTAGAGGCTCATTTGAGAGAATTGGAGTCTTTGCTAGATTTAGATTCAGTTGGAGTTCAAATGGTTGGAATCTACGGTCCTGCGGGCATTGGTAAGAGTACCATTGCTAGAGCTCTACATAGTCGACTTTCTAATAGGTTTCAACATAATTGTTTTGTGGACATCCAATGGGAAAGCTTCCGCATTGGTTTTGATGATTATGGTTTGAAGCTGCGTTTACAAGAAAATTTTCTTTCAAATATTTTGGACCTAAGTGGACTGAGGATAAGCCATTTAGGTGCCATAAAAGAACGGCTATCCAAGCTGAGGGTGCTTATCATTCTTGATGATGTGAACCATATGAAGCAACTAGAGGCGTTGGCAAATGAAACTACGTGGTTTGGTCCTGGAAGTAGGATTATTGTGACAACAGAAAACAAAGAGCTTCTGCATCAACATGGTATCAACAATACGTACCATGTGGGGTTTCCATCTGATGAAAAAGCGCTCAAGATCTTATGTCGATATGCTTTTAGGAAAAGCTATCCACATAATGGTTTTAAAAAGCTTGCATTAAGAGTAACAGAGCTTTGTGGCAACCTTCCATTGGCTCTCCGTGTGGTGGGTTCATCATTACGTGGGAAGAATGAGGAGGAGTGGGAAGAAGTAATACGCGGGCTAGACAGTATTTTTGATCATCAAGATATCAAGGAAGTACTAAGAGTTGGTTATGAGAGTTTACATGAGAATGAGCAATCTCTATTTCTCCACATTTCAGTCTTCTTCAACTATCGAGATGTTGATCTTGTGACAGCCATGTTGGCTGACAAGAACTTGGATGTCAAATATGGGTTGAAAATCCTAGTAAATAGATCTCTCATATATATATGTAACCATGGAGAAATAGTGATGCACAAGCTACTGCAACAAGTGGGTACAAAAGCGGTTGAAAGAGAAAAACCTTGGAAACGCCGGATCTTAGTAAATGCTCATGAGATTTGTGATGTTCTTGAACGTGGCAAAGTAAGTTTTCCCTCCTGTATTGTGTCATATTTTTTTGCTCATTAAACAAGTCATTTGGTGAAGATAGCAAATCCTACCTATCGTACTAACAATTTCCTATTATTTGGAATATTGGTTTAGGGTACTAGAGAAGTGTCTGGCATATCATTTGATACATCAGGAATCAACGAAGTCATTA